GGGAGAAGGCGATTGCAGGTTCCCGCCCCCCGCCCGTCTGGAGGACGTCCGGCTAATTCAGAGCCAGTCACCCGGTTTTACAGCGGGTGAGTCAGGCCGCAGGGGCGAGGGGGAGGAGCGGGGCACCTGGGCGAGCGACAGCCCGAGGGACCCTGGCTAGGACCTGAGACCGGCAGAGGCAGCCCGAGGGAAGAGGGACTGTAAGAGGTGCAGGCAAGGGAACAGGGAGGGCAGAGTAGGCAGTCACAGGCGGCAGGAAATGGGGCTGGCAACTTGGGGCAGGGGGGTTCAGCTGGGTGGGGGGGAGGCGGGGCCGCAGGGACATGCTGCCAGAGGCGGCTGCAGTGGGAACGCCCAGGGGAGACGAAGAAGGGGGAGGAGGAGGAAAGGAGGGTGTGAGAAGGTGGTGAGGGCAGCAGGGAACAGCCACAGGCAGCAATTCAACAGACGGGGGCAACAGGCAGGCAGCTACAGCGTGACCAAGGCGCCTGTCAGCAATCCTTGGGGGAAGTGGGGTCTAAGGTGGTAACCAGCCACTCACACAGTAGTAACCAGGGAAAGAACAAGGCTGCAAGCCGGCCGTGGGTTAACTCTTGGGGCACCCGATAGCAGAGGGCCAGAGACTGGCCCAGAGCCAGGCCTGAGCAAGTACTGCAGGACGCTTCCTTGGCAATGAGAACTTTTGGAAACAGCCTCCCCGTTGGGTAGCCGGTGAGCCCAGCGTGATCCCTGCGTCTTTCTCCCGGCCACGGGTCGCCGACATGCAACCCCCACCCCGTGAGTGGGACCGGACCAGGGCGCCCTCGCTAGCTTGGAACGCCCGGGGCTCGGCTGCGCACACCCCGTCCCGTTCGCCAGCTGCCCCGTTACTTACGAATTCCCTCCGGGGCTCATGCTGGCCGGCGTAGGCTCCTGTTTGATGACGGGGGAGACGATGGTGGGGTGTGGGATTCCCGAGGGGTGCAGGCCATGGGCGGGAGGCGGGACCATGTGGGGGGAAAACCGACTGGACATCAGACTGCAGCATGGGAGACAAAACAGCGGGACACGGGCGTTACACATGAATGCAACAGCCGCAGCCACACAGTGCGACTCTCTCCCCATGGCCAGCTCCTCACCTCCCACCCCTGGGGACTCCTCAGCATCCGAGCCCACTTCCTGCCCGCTAGCAGGGGCGTATGTTACACCTGGTCCACAGAGTTTATGCTGGGGGGGAAGAGGGAAAGCATCAGGAAGGGCTGGTGAGGCGAGGCAAGGATCCAGTGGGAGGGACGGAGCCCAGGAAAGTGTCTTTGATGGTTTTCCAACTTGACCCAATGCAAGCTGGACTATCGGACACGCAGCAAGAGCCTCTTGGCCAACGCTCGGCCCTGGGTTACGGCCCAGCAGGTCTGCCGGCTTGGTGCATTGAGGGCGATTAGTCACCCAGATCCACTGTCTGGGGGCTGTGGAACTGCTCCCTTCTGTACAGGCTCTGGGGCTGCTCTCATGCCCAGAGCAACTGCGCACTCCCGGTCACGTGACGGTCTTGTGACAGGGCGAACGTCCCTGTCGAAGCAGGTCACTGTCCGCTCTCCTTAACCTCACTTGGAGAACTGGCAAATCGGAGAGGTCACAGAACAACAAAACCGGTGAGCAAGTTGGAAAACCTGCTCGAGGGGGGAAGCTTGAAAGAACTGGGCATGTGGAGGCAGGACATGATGAGAATCGACTTCTCGTATGCGGTCGGCTGTCATCCAGAGAATGGCGATCGATTGTTCTTCGTGCCTGCCGAGGGAAGGACAAGGCGGCACCGGCGTAGGTAGCAGCAAGGGAGTGTCAGGGGACATACTGGGAAAAGGTCTCGAACCACAAGTGTAGTTAAGCTCTGAAACAAGGGCGGCTGTGGAATCCCCAGCACTGGCGGTTTTTACAAATAGCTTGGACAGACATCGGTCAGGGACGGGCTGACTGTACGTGGCCCTGCCTTAACAAGGGGGATGAGGGGAGAAAAGAACTCTGATCTCTTGAGCACTTTTCCAGTCCTACCTTTCCACAATTACACGTGACCAACATGAGATTTGTGCATCCACGACCCAGCAAGCAAAGGATTCCTGCTCCAGTCCTCGTCAGAACTGCTAGCGTTGATCAGCGATCGCTTGGGGTGACGCGAGCGGTGCCCAAAAGCTGGGAGGAGGATCTCCCCGAAAGAGCCTCTGCCTGTGTCTCGGAACCGCAAGTGTGTCGAATAGCTCACAGAATGGACAGAGCATCATGGGGCTGTCCAGCTTCTCAGCCAGGCAACAAACAAGCCCCCGACACTCTGAGCAAGCATCTGTCGCCATCCCTGGAGACATGGTTCCAGCTCCACCCCGGAGACATGGCCAGAACCCTACAAACACTCACCCTGCGCCGCAGGCTGTTGGTTTGACTCACGACCAAAAGTTGGGGAAAATCAGATAAGAGGGGAGAGGGAATCAGCCCCCTTCTTTGTGGAGATGGATGCTCGTTTCGAGGAGCTACAGATGGCCACATGAGCACAAGGCCCTGTCTGGTCCAAAGTGTCTTGGGTGTAGCTTGAACAGAGGATGAAGAACCAACCCACCAACCCCTCTGGGGCTGCGGAAAAGGATAAGATCCAGCTGAGCCCGCTGGGGGACGCAGGCCTCCCTCCTGGCTCCTAAAAGTGCTTAAGAATGGGGGTTTTCACAGGGAACCCGACACTCCCCCGGCAGAGAGAACGGGCTGGCCAGAACACAGCGTCACCTCCAAGGAGGATAATGGTGCTCAGCTAGTGAGGCCGAACACAGCGCCGGGCTGGGAGCCAGACGCAGAGAAGGGTGTTGGAGCCACCAGTTTGTGTCCAAGTTCCTAAATGAGGTTCTGAGAGAGGAGCGAGCCAATCGGGGTACAAAGCAAGGGCACCGACATGGCAAGAATCTTCCGGTGGGGAATTTCTCGGCCTTGTTGTGGTGCGACAGCACTGGGCACACCTCTCCTGGTGCTCTAGGATGGGGAGGGAAGGAAAACGTAAGGCATCTGTCCAGTCCCCTCGTGTCCAACGGTGGCAAAAAGGGAAGGTAGTGTTCCCCCTCAGCGAGCCACGCAGGTCTAAACCGGGCTGGTCTTGTGTGCACAGAGGCACATCTCAACCCCAACTAGCCGCAGACGTCAGCCACAAAGCTCGGAACCACGGCAGAGACGTAGTCACCATTTTTTTTTTCAGTGACATCCAAAAACCCCCACGGAAACTGCCGAGGAGAAATATTGTGACGTTTCGTCCTCAGCGCCTCCCGCGACGCCCCTCGGCGGGTGGAGAGAAGAGGGTCTTCTTGCCTCAGAGCAGAGATGCGACCTCCCACAATTCCAGATTTCCGTGGCTCTGAGGTGCCCATGGGAGCACACGCTCAGAGGCACGAGGAGACAAATTCACAGGACCCATCTCCAGGGTCTGTCGGAGGAGCCACTGGCCAGAGGCCTCCAGCATTTGGCTTGCAGGCCCACAGGGATTCAAGCTTAGTCGTTGGGCCAAACTTTGCCTGTTTCCCCGCTTCTCCTTTGTTCTGCACTCTGTCCCAGACCCTCCATTGTCTCTGCACAAACGCTCTTTCAGGAGACCCCCATAACCACCCCCTCTGCCTCTACAAGAAAGGGGTTTTGTCCCCTTGGCCCTGGGGGTCTTGTTACGTCTTTGCACGTCCTAGTTGAAATCCTGACTGAACGCTGCCCATCCCGCTCCAGTGTGTACTCACCTGGACATCGAAGCATTCATAGCTAGGGCAGGGTACGGGTGTCTGAATCCCCCGGGAGGAATGGAGTACACCGGCTGTCCTTGCCTGAAACGGACAAGCAAAGAAAAACAAAAGGTCCTTAACTAGACGACAAAAGGAAGAAAAAACGATCACCCAGGAAAGCCACGCGAACACGTTTCCCTCTGATTGAGTTGGGAAGCTGCTTGTCACAGGCGGTGTGACAAATTCAGCGCGTCCCACCCAAAATGAAAGCACCTCCTCTTTGAACACTGGATATGGTTTGAGAAATTACAAGGAAAGCCATTCTTTTTTAGTTCACATTAAGGTTAAAATGGGTCTTTTGGAGCATCTCTTGAAGTGTCATAATAAAATAATCCAAGACTCTTCAAACCTCCTTCAAAACTCACTGAAATTTTGTTCCTAGGCTACAGCTAAAGAATATTTCTAGGATTTATGGTAATTTTTTGCCATTACACTCCACAATGGAAAGTTTCTTCTTCAGCAGAGATTGAAGAATAAAGTTCTGCTTCATTCCACAAAGAACTTTTCTTTTGCAAACTGCTATCCCATCTCTTACTGTTCTCAATGGGACCGAGGGCTGATCTTCATTACAGAACAGATCAGAGATCGATCCGGTGAGGGTCGATTTATCATATCTATTACAGACACGATAAATCGACTGCCAATCACTCTCCTGTCAACTCTGGTATGTCACCAAACCAAGAAAAATAAAGGGAGTCAACAGGAGAGTTTTCTGTGTTAACCCACCATGGTGTGGACCCTACAGTAGGTAGATCAATTTGAGTTATGCTACTAATGTATCTCAAATTGGGTTGCTTAGATTGACCTGTCCCAAATTATTTCCACTCCGACTCACTTGAAGAAGTGGGTTTTACCCACAAAAGCTCATGATTCTCTGTATTTCTGTTACTCTCTAAGGTGCCACAGGACTAAATTGAAAAGAAAACCAAACATTTTACAGTACAGAAATGTAGAGGGCTCCCAAACAACTCTGTTCTGCCCTGCATGACACAATGAGGAAGGAGAAAGTATTGTGTGTCTTTAAATATCAATTTAATTCAACATGGATTCAGACATACTGAAAAGATCATCTCCGATATAGTTATTACAAAAACATCGGCTAAAGGAGGGAATACAGAAGGAGTATTAGACGGGTTAAAATAGCTTTCAAAAAGCAGCGTGCTCAAGGTATACAGATCAAGCGGTAGAAATTCTATAAGTATCCCAGAAGCAGGGAGCCTAGAAGAAGGTGGGTGGATCGGCTGCATCACGAGGGTTTAAAACGCACGACTAAGGAAGAAAAGGGCACTGCTGAGAAGCGAAATGACGTCAGTATCCACACTGGAGAGATACCGACCCCAGTCCTGCCCTTTCCAAGCAATAAGGATGATGCGCTATTAGTGACTGAGGGTGGGAATGGACTGATAGGTTAAGTCCCCACATGGTCCATGCGGGAGTTTGGAAGGAGGACAGCTGCGAAGTAGGTGAGCTGCTTAGCAAAGACGCGAGCTCGGATTAGTATCAGAGGGGTAGCCGTGTTAGTCTGAATCTGCAAAAGCGACGAGGAGTCCTGTGGCACCTTATAGACTAACTGAAGTGTAGGAGCATAAGCTTTCGTGGGCAAAGACCCACTTCGTCAGATGCATGTAGTGGCAGTTAGTCTATAAGGTGCCATCGAGCTCGGATTAGAAGCAGCAACTGTCCTGGAGGACGGACGGGCTGTAAATGTCGTATCTGTGCTACCGGTGGCCTGCGGAATCACAGACCTGTCTGCCACAGGGCTGTACCCGGTACATTTGCGGTAATAATCATTAAAAGCTGGAATGATAGAACGTGGCAGAGCCGGAGACAGTCCCTGTACTAAGCTCGTGCCTCCCTTTGTCAGAATTCTCTACCTATGCCAAGCAGGGGATAAAGGAGCAGGTGACACAATTTGTTTACACGTCGAAAAGGGCTTTTTACGGTGTCTCTCGAGGCTCCGACAGAAGCGACGTTGCCAGGGGTGAGAGGCACGACAGTGTCCTGTATCGAAAGCTGGCAGGAGAAATTGTGGGAATAAGCGGCTGCAAAAAAGTTAAAAGCCTGTCTGAGGGCCAGTTTGTTTAATCCATTTATTAATGGCCAGGACTGGGGCGTGGGGAGGGGCACGGAGGGGGTAAAACCTGCGGATGACACAAGGTTATTCGGTTTGGTTAAACGAGGCAGGACTAAGAGGACTGCTGGCTGGCAGGTTAGACTGAACGTTGACAGACACCAAGTCGCACTCATTGAGCGCGGAGTTCGGTAGCAACTCGGAAAAGGGCCTGGGACTCATGCGTGTAACTACAGAGTTCTGCTCTCTCATGCAACCACAGTCCCTCGGGTACCCAGGCCGGGAGGCTGCCTATGGAACGGGATGGAGGATAATCGAATACTATAAAAGCCATCACAGAAACTACTGGGGCAGCCTTGTCTGGATCCTGGGTGCAGCACTGGGCGCCCTGTCGGATAAAGGAAGTTGTGGAATGAGAGGGGTTGAGAGATGGGTGATGAGAACGATCAAGGCCTGAAATTACCCAAGCTTTTTTCAAGAGATGAGTAAGAGGGGACAGGACAAAAGCATCTCAAATCATGACTGATCTAGGAGGGAGACTGGCAGCAACTGATCTCCCCACTCTGTAATATTAAGACCAAGGGGAGGGTTCCATTTGTAACGGATAAAATGAAATACATTTTCCACGTGTGCTTAGCCTGTGGAACTCACTGCCACAGGAAGTCTCGGAAGCTAAGTATTTAGCAAAACAGAAAATGGGACTGGACATATAAATGAATAATAAAAGAAACAAGAGTTAGGATAATAAAATTATACAAACATAGTAAGGTTTAACCTGTCCTTTAACAAGGTGTGGGACTAGATGGAGCATAAAGCATAGTTTTGTTCCCATTGCATGGTATCACTTCAGGGCAGAGTTAAGGGGGTTTGGATCTCTATCTGCATTTCCAGATCTTATCATGCTTGGATTTCTTTCAAGGTGGAGTTAAACTTGGAATTTCTTGGGGTTCTCATGCTGGTTTGGGGGCTACGCACAAGAGGCTTGTAATATATCTGATCTTGAAAGACTCTCATATACCCTCCACCAGAACTATAGGTTAATATCGTTTTTGTTGGTAGTATCTCAATGGATCCCCAAAGTGCGTGGTGCCCTGTCCAATCTACTGCAGGCACATGGAGCTGGGCCGGGTGCAGCGGCAGCACCAATTCCAATGCCTCACTCGGCGCGGAGGGCGCATGCAGATGGGAATCTTCCACGTTGGGGGAAGCCAAAGGCGCGGGGAAGGGAAAGGTTCAGGGGTGAATTGTGATCCTTACTGTGGTACCAGCCAGCCCAATGCATGGGGGAGTTGGCCGACAGCACTGGTAGACAGCGGATAATACGGAGACAGTTCTGAAGGGTGCGGTGGTCGTGGAATTCCTATGGTGAGGGAGAGAAAAAAAACCAGGCATTAAACCACCGTCATGGCAAGCCAGGGTCCCAGCTGTCAGGCGAGGCTGCTGGCCTCCCCCGCAGGGCACCGTCCCTGCACGCAGTGCTCTGCAAGCGTGCCCCCAATACGTCTCTGCAGCTGGTCCTGAACATCGGAGCGGGAGATGTTCTTCCCAAGGGGCCACCCAGGAAGGAGATCAGGCTGGAAGGAGGAAAGACATCCCCCTCCCCCCACCCACAGAGCCTTTAATGCTGCCTAACCACCCCTGCCCTGGACCTGAAGTCACCGGCCAGGGGCCAGACAAAGCCGTGGGCACAGGACTCGCTGATTTCTACACAGACCAAAACCCCTGGCACAGCCTGGCTTTACAGGCCATCGACAAGGGGCAGCATCAGCAGAGGCGATCCGGGGGGGCCACTAGCCACGTGATCCCCACATACAGCCCAGGAAGGGCCAGGACAATCCCCCTCCGCCCCAGGCCCTGCCCACGGCATTGGGGTGCACGTCGCCCCCCACATCAAGCTCCTCCCAGGAGTGCGGGAAGCCGGGAGGGTGCAGTACCCCACTGCGAGCGAGCAAGCCTGCTAGGCTGGTGAGCGGCTGCAGGGAAAACCCGGCTGCCCTGGCTGTGGGCTCCCACGTCTGAAATGTCCTGCCGCTCTTCTGGCAGAGACCATGGCCACCGCTGGCCCAGCGGGCAGTGCTGTGAGCTGAATGGCCTGTCCCCGGGCGCTGTCACCAGGAACGCCAGCTGTGTGTTTCGGCCGGCGAGGGGCCTGGCCTGCGAGCCACGCCCCGCAGACAGCCTGCGTCCGGCCACGCAACGTAGCCCTGGAATCGTCCCCAGCAGGTCCCCCGGGCGGCAGCTCAAACACCGTCCCTTGCAGAGCGGCCCTTGAGGGCTGCCCATGCCGTGCCCAAGGAGGCCTGGGCAGCCTTCCAGGAACAACACAGCTAGTCTGGGGTCTCTCTGAATGGAAGACGCTTGGCCCAGAAACAAGCGCTGCCTTGTGCCAGCCTGGCTTGGCAAACTCCACGGCCAACCTAGCCAACAGGTACATCCCCCACCAAGCAGGTCTGGCTTCTCTGTGGCCTGCTCACGCAAGCGGGGCCTGGCGTCTCCCCAGCCTCACAGTTGCATCAGCATGGCCAGGACCCCAGATCTTTGGGTAGCTCGTGGGTTTCAAAGCTGGTCCCTGTGGAGCGACAGCTGGTACCAGCAAAATCTGGCGAGGGAGCTGCCTAAAGATTTCTATGGCCCTACGACTCTGTCCCTCGGTCTGACCAGCCCTCTGGGAACTCCCCTGCAGACCCCAAGAGCTCACCCGTCTTTGGATCGATCTCTGGCGAGAGGTGGGAAGGCGGCGAGCCCGGCGAGAAGTGGTCGTTGCTGTAGGTGATGAGGGGGGTCAGCGGGTGCATGTGATGCGCATGCTGCACCACCGGCACTTTGTTCGACTGCACGGGAGAAGGGAGAAAGCCGTTACCGGGGCGGGAAAACCAGGCAGAATCGCCCGGGGAAGGACCCAACGAGCAGGGCAGAAAGGGACCCGGGTACAAAGCTCAAAAGGACCCAAGTGGCTCCGGAGTCCAAGACCAACAGGGTAAAATGATCAGAGGCAGCTGAATCAGACGTTCAGGTCCCATGAGATTTAGGCTCCTAAGAAGCAAAGCCGCTGTGGAACATGGGGCTTAGGTGCCTTTCAAGATTTGCCTTTGCTGGCCTCAGAGCGGCTGCAGGGCTGACGCAGCCCAGGACTGCGCCGGAATCCCTCGCACACTCGGACGGGGCGTCATTTCTACACGACCCCGCTCCCGCCCGCAGCACGCTGCCTGCCCTCGCAGACTGGGCAGGGCTCCCCGGCTTCTGTAAGCAGGTACAGGAGGGGGCTCTGGAGTCGCCTCCCTTCTCTGGCCTCGTGGGCCCCCCATGTCCAGCGACACCCGCAGCCCGAGAGTGCCGCAGGCCAGGCGCCTGGTGCCGTCTTCACACCAGCAGCAGCCCAGTCCCTGAAGGGGTCTCGCCATCGCCACAACCCCCCCGTCTGCATTCCTGGTCCAATCCCTCGGCCTGTCCGCCTCTCCCCGCTGGGCTCCCCTCCCCGGGAGCGACCCTGCCGAGCCTGAGGAATCACCGGCCTCTCCATCTACTCCACCACGACTTTCCCCGCCTCCGCCATAGGCGGCTCCCTCGCTCTGCTCCTCGGCTTTGCCCCCCAGGCTCCGGGTGCAGCTGTGGCCCCTGGCCACAAGGCAAACAGCTGTCTGCCCAGCACTCCAGGCCATTCACTGCAGGCTGGAGAAGCTCACAAAGGCAGCAGCTTCATTTGCAGATATGCCAGGAGATGGCACATGGCGCCAGCCTGGCACTGGCTGCGCACGCACCGTCGGCAGGGTCCCGGGGGGGATTCTTTTCAGCCCAGCCCTGCTCTATCTCACAGGAGAGCTACGTCCAGGCCATGGTCTCCGGTTCCTAGCGTGACCCTTCCCCTGGAGCCTGCAGAGAAGGGGGACGCGAGTCGAGCGCCAAGACCCAACACTCCTCAAGGGAGTTTGCTCCAACGTACGGAATGAAAAATTCACTTTGGGTAGCGGCCAAGCCTGGGAAACGTCAGACCAGACGCAAACGCTTTGCCACGCTCACGGCGAGCGGGAACCGGGGTTATCACGGCAGCAGTTTTGCAGCCCGAACGACAGAGGATGGAAGAAATAAAAGCTGCAGGGGAAGGGGAGGAGAAAGGGAGCAGAGCACCGAGCTGCGTGGGATGAGGGAAGACGACCGAGATACCAGAGCACCGAGCCTCTCGTGTGCGCTGAGGTTTCCAGTGACAGGTTTTGAATCATGAACTCTCACGAGATGGAGCGAACCAAACAGCCACAGGCACTCGGTGAGTCTGCCCAGCTGCAGGACTGGAACAAAGATCCCTTAGAGCACGGCCCCTGGCTTGTCTGGATCTGGCTCTTGAGATGTGGGACAGCCCCCAGCACTGGATATCCATGGGGATGGAGCACACAAAACGTACTAGCCTGGGCCCCCCAGTGCCTTGGTGTGTGAGGGGAAAGGTGGGAGGGTCTTTCTTCTCAGTCAGAGGCCACAGTGAGGGAGTTTTTGGGGGGAGGGTTTGGAGGGGGGCTTCTCACTTGTGTGGGGCCCCCATCTGACTTGTCTGCGTACCAGTGGCCCTCAGCCCACAAAAGCCCCTCCCCCCGTCTTGGAGAAAAGGCTGGGTTCTCCAGAAGACATGGACATGGGGGTTTCCTCATTCCCTCTCAGCTCCTTCCCTCCGAAAGTGATTGCGAACACTCCGTCAAAGGAAAAAATGAACCGGGCCTGGGTCCTTTCGAACTCGGCTGCGATGGCCCCAGGACACCTGGAATGTTGCTTTGGCCATTGTACAGGCGAGTCTGGCCTGCCCAGGAAGACACGAAGGCAACTGGAGAATCAGCGAGGCTGCAGGAGGGCGGAGGAAGGCAGCAGAGAGCGGACCAGTGCGAGGCATTAGGAAATGCCCATCTCATTCGCCTGCGGAGAATCAAGCCCTTCCTGCAACACAGTCCGGCCCCGGCCCCGCCGCTGCCTTTTTCGTGACGCTGATTAAAACTCCTTGAGTTTTCTTTGGGTTTTTAGCCTCTGCTTTGTTCCAATGCTTAATGAGCACTTAGGAGGGAAACGTTCTTTGTTAATTTCAGAACCGCCGGCTTTCGGCAAACCAGTGAGCCCTCCGAGGGCTGAAGCCTCACCATCAATTCTCCAGCAAAACCAGAAAACCCCAAACCTGCTACGACGCAGAAACACCAAACAGTCCCGGGCCTCTTCCTGCAGCGTGAAGTGGCACAATACGGCCCAGGACCATCCACGACAGGATTGCTTTGCCGCCACTAACGGGGATTAGCACTGGGTAGCTAGCCTGGAGGGACAGGCCTGCAGAACGGGGCCCTTGCTAAGTGCTCGGAGACGCTGCAGGAGACTGATCGGGAATGCGGTTTATGCCCCTCCTCCCCCGTGTATGGGAACAGCCCATCCACCCACTATCCCCAAGGGTCTAGGGACAGGAGGTCAAAATCCTCAGAACTCAGACGCCTGATGAAAAGACACCTTGAAACTCGCGCAGAACTTCAGCACCAGCACAAAACTGGGGTGTGTGGAATCTCCATCCCTAGAGGTCTGAAGTACCGGTTTGACCAAGCCCTGGCTGGGATGATTGAGTTGGGGTTGGTCCTGTTTTGGGCAGGGGGCTGGACGTGATGACTCCTGAGGTCTCTGCCCGCCCAGGGGTTCTAGGATTCCCAAGGGCTTGGAGCACATACAACCTCCCCACCTATCGGCCTCAATGTGCCACTCCAACCCTTTATCAGCCTTTCCTTGTCACTGGGTAGCACTCCAGATGTAGGCAGCCACAGAACCCTGTTCTCTTGCCCTGTGCTGGCTTTGCGGCCGTGTAGCTATGTTGATCCCAGGATAGGAGAGAGAGAAGGGGGAGGGGACGTAGCTTTTACTGGGCCAACTTCTGTTGGTCAAAGAGACAAACTCTCAGGCTCCACAGAGTGGAAGAGAGAGGAGACCCTGCCTCCCTCATCACGCACAAGGATGCTAACATACTCACTTCCTGTCTGGCATGTTCGCAGCTCCCAAGACTAGAGGGGACCTTTAGAGCGGTCTGATCTGACTTCCTGCACAGCACAGGTCACAGAGCATCACCCCATGATCCCGGGCTCCTGGCTGAACTAGAGCATGTGTTTTAGCAAGAGATGCCACATCCCCAACCGAGCTGCTCCACTGGCTAATTACCCTCACTTCAAACTTTGCCCTGGATTTCAAGAAGGCGTGGATGGCCTGGGGGAGATTCGAGAGAGACCCAAATGGGAGGGTGCACTGGGGGGAGATTCTGCCTGTGATTTGGGCCTGGCTCGCTGGCCACGGCGCAGCTGCAGGGACACCTCGTGCCAAAGCTGCCCAGGACAGGAAGAGGCCAATCACGCAGACAAGACTTACCAAGTGTGCCGGTGATGGAGATCTGCTGTCTTTCAGCGTAGCGCCAGCCGGAACGTCCAGAAGCGGCCACTTCATCTGAAGGTACTGGAAGAAACCCAGAGTGAACGGTGGAACAGCAGCTCGGAGAAAAGGGGACCGCCCGGCCCTGCTGCTTTCACAGGAGGCACTGGGGGGCGGGTCAGAAGGTGGAATTTCAAACCATTCTGATCTTGCAGCACCTGCGGCTGGGCTCTGGCCATGGCCTTGCAAGGTCAACGCCAAACCACAGCCAGCTCTGACCACGGCACTGCAGACCCTGAGGAACCGGGCGGGAGTGCCCCACGGCCAGCTCAGCACAGAGCCACGGGGGGCGGAAGCGTTCTGCCTGAGGCTCACCCCCACCAAACAGGGGTCCCCCAATCACTGACTCAGACACCCTGTTGAAATGGAGCATGTGCATGGACATAGCGCTACGCTGCACCCCACCTCCCCTCCGCCAGTGACACCGCTTGCTCCCTGATCACAATCTACCAGCAACCCCGGCCCTCGGCTCTTAGGAACAGGCTGTGGTTAGCTAACCCGCCCCCCGGGAGGCAGAATCCCCCCGGTTACGTTCTCCTGGACCAGGCTGGAGTCCCAGGTCTCCCCGCAGCATGGAGCGGAATACAACGCAGGCACCGCTTCCCACGGCTGGCCCAACTCCATTGAAGACGGACGCCTGGAAGGGCAGCCTGGAAAGTCGGCATGCGAGCGCCCCGGGGAGGGGGCGCCCTTCTCAGCAAGCCGCCACGGGGCTGACCGCTACGAGCGGGCTCAGGGCCCAGCAAATGGGCAGGGAGATGGGGCTCCCGGAGGGCTTGCTGTGCTCATTCCTCAAAGGGGCTGGCATGGACCCCCATGGAGACTAGTCGAGTCAGACAAACCCAGTCCTACCCTCGCCCCCCCCACACC